TTTTTTTTAATATGATGTCTAAAATATATATATGAAATTCTCACCTGTGACATAGCAACTATATTGTAACCCTTTCTCAACTGTTCCATTGTCTTCACCTTATCACAGATGATTTGTATCTGACAGCAAACAAACAAATCAAACACAAAACATGCTGGAATTGGACACTTTAATCTAAAAACTTCAAAATCACACTCTCTTTGGAGGTGTTTGGAACATTTGGAGATACCCTATTAAAGAGTGTTTAGGGCATAACCCAACCAAATTTGGGTAAATTCACGGACTTTAATGTTAGCCCGCTATTCAAATCTCTCACACTGTTTTTCTAAACTTGTACTTGTTAAACCTGCATTTCAGATATATCATCATTTTCCTAAATCTAGACTGCACTTACTGAACTCATCTTTAGAATGTCAAATAACCTATGCCCCAATAGTACGGCCTTTAAAGATCTTAGGACTAGTCTTGGGATAAGCAACGCTTCTTCGGGATTAGTGAGAGTGAGTCATGAGAGCACCATACAAGGAGTGACACCCTAATGCCCKCTGTTAAGGGGAAGCTACGAGAGCCACGTGGAACTGCGCCTCATGAGGACACGTCGGATCTCTCCCATTTTCAAAATAGGTGAGCAGACTGTACCGGTACAGCACCACTCAAAGGAGAATGTCGAGCGCATTGTAAAAAYTGATGGGGAAAATACCTGTTACTATGCGAATAACAAAATAGCTAAAAGACCTAGTTCACCTSAAACCAGAGTCTAACTAAAGAACCATTTTCTGCCCTTCCACRGTTATTCAGCGAATCCCAAATCCAAACAACACGATAAGGGAATAGAGAAAGCATAGCAAGCAACACAATACTGGTTCACCCAACTATGGTTACGTCCAGTCTTCTACTACGTATGGGTTCTATTCTAATTAGGATAATACAATGGGCCTCACAARYAYTCTACAAAGTTCTCTTTAAATGTCACAACAATGGTCACCTTGGTTTCTAAGCACTACACTAATAGGTACTTAAATATACAAGAATGAAAATGCCTCACAAAAACACGAGAATGGGTTGCTAACGACGTACCACAGCTTGAAACTTTGTTTACTACACTCTGCTGTCAAAAACGTCAGTGCCCTCTTTAAATTTATGCCACTTAATTTATAAACTGAGATAGCACCAGTTYTATCTTGTCCCGCGTTGTGATAGCATTGTGACGCTGATCATAGTGCCGCAGCATTGTCCTCTCTACCAAAATGACCCTGCAGCTCGCTTMTTCGATCCTATTTCATTCTTGCCTTGTCCCAATCCGTTTTGACACTATTTCGACTCCATAATCCCAACACAGAAGCCCAACATGCCTAGAGGTACCAACAAACTCCCCCAGYGGGCATCTGGCACGGTGTTAGGGTCATATCCCAGACGCTGCTGCACCAATCTACAATGGCAAGACARGGACACAAAATGTCGGGAGGAGTTCYCAAACCTCTGATTGGCTATCTATCTTCCATCTCTCTCACCTGCTCTCCTTATATAAACCGACTTTCTCTACCTAACTCCTTGTGAGAATTCGGCACACACTCACAAGCAGATTCCAACCCTCGAGATTACTATGTCTTTTTACTCTATTTTTCYCATACCCGTCTGCTCCCCAATTTGAGTTATTTCTAATTTAATATTCATTGGGGTGCATTCGACAAAGCACCATACCAGTACTAGATTTCTATGTGTAGGTAACCAACCACTTGGAGACAACAGCGTTCGGTGGCACTTACAATATGACACTTACGGCTAGGCTTGTCCAGTAATCCACATCAACACCCTCCATTATATCAATCTGGTAAAACAAAAGGAAGCTTAAGGTGATGTCTAACCTGATCCTCAAGGGGCATGAACCAAGAATCCATCTCCCCATTGCCAATTTCTCTGTAAGAGGGAACACCATTAAAAAATTTCAAGATAAAAGAAACAGAAGAGATCATGGAAGATTTAGTTTGGAGATGGACAAAAGGTTCAAGATTTTTAGTGGTGTTTTTTTTTTTTTTNTTTTTTAAAAGAGAGAGGATACGAAAATAATTTCTACTGTGGGAAACATATTATATTACAGGCAATGGCCTTCAGCTCCAGAAGTGGCAGTCAAGTATTCAGTAAAATCTCTGACTCCTTCATTTGAGCACTGATCATTAAGACCTGCACAATACACACGACACAATTAACTAATTTTAGTATTCAAGTTTTGATTTCACCTAATTAAAATTTAAACTTAGAATAAGTAGTCAAATATTTAAATCAATACCCTCCTAAGCTTGAGAGAAACAAAATCAAATACCAACTGCAACTAAAAAAATTCACATCCACTTAAATAAAACTAATTACACATCTACACCTACCCATGAATTGGGGGAAAAAATCAAGTAAAAATATGTATGATTTCACCACTTAAGTAACAAAGTCAAATAATGGGTAAAAACGATTAAATAAAAGGTGCTTAAAACTTAACTAGATTGACATAAGGGGGAAGAGAAAATTTTTCTAGAACTTTCTACTTTCTACTTGATCCCAAGCCAAGATTCCATTGAAAAAGAAACATAAATAACAGCATCTTAAAGGATATCTTCACAACAAATTTTCATATCAAATTGGAAATGAAAGAAAAATAATAATAATTAAATTAAAGTAGATGATGAGCTGCTTATCTAACAAGGAAGGAATCTGGCATTAAAGCATTAGAAGAAGTGGAAATTACCATGGAGAAGAATGAAGGGTATTGAGTGGGAAGTTGGGCAAGTAATAATTACAAAGACTAGAGCCAAAGAGAAGAAGATGGAGAAGGAACCAAAAGCCATTGCTTTTTCCTTTCTTTTTTTGGGTCTTTTTTGACAAACTTACAAATTTGMGAAGGGTGGAAACAAAAAAGATTGCCTTTTTGTATGCTCATAGCTACTTTTATCTTATTTAATTACAAACCCTTTTGGCCCTTTTCATTATTTGTATTGCCTATGCCCACCAATCTTTCTTCTTTTTTTTTTAAGTGTTTTGGAAAGTAAAGGTCTGTGTTTTACATTTTTTTCTTGGTCCCTCTTTTGGTTTATATAGGTCTTGTATTTTCTACTTTTGTCAATATTTTTTGTTAATATACTCTCAAAATATTTGTTTTGTTTCTTGAACCGTCAATTTTGTCTTTTTTAATTTTTTACTTTTAAAATTTAGTCTATATTAGAAAATGGACCATTTAATTTAGATGTTTTTTTTAATCTCATTTTTTTATGTCACAAATTTAAGTACAATATATTGCACCAAATGTATTTTTTTTAATATTTTCGTAATTTTGCGTATCCAGGGTCTTTGTTGAATGTAGCATTTGTCTTGTATTTTTTTTAATATTTTCGTAATTTTGGGTATCCAAGGTCTTTGTTGAATGTAGCATTTGTCTTGGAATTTTGGACCAAACGATCCAAGTTTGAAACAACATTTAAAAATACAAGTTTATTTTTTAAAAATTTCACTTCGTAGTACAAAATTAATATATATCATTAAAAAAATGACATAAAATTGTGATATTTTACAAATATAACATAAGTTAAACTTCTCTCGATGTGTTTTGCCTTGATGTTTGAATTGGAGTTTAATTTGAATTATATTATTTTTGTAACTTTGAAAATTGTGCTATACTTTATATTTGAAACTATGTATATCTTTCTAATATATCATTTGAAATATATATTTATTTTGTTATTTATGTAATTTTCTTAATTTATATTATGTATTTATATTATTTTACATAATTGTAATCTTTATTTTATGCTATTTATATAACTATCTCAATTTTTAATTGATTCGAGAAATGGACACGGGTTTTACTTTTTCTTTATTCTTTTTCCCTTTTTTCCTAAGTAGTGTGCACATGTGTTAAACGTGTCTACAATTGATTCACCAACTGAAAATAGGACTTTAAATTATATTATAATTAAATATTTGAGTTTCCCAATAAAAAATCGAATGGATCAGGATGGGTACTAAAATAATAATAATGAYGATGATGATGGATATGATGGCATTTTTTAAAAATAAAATAAGGTTGTCCTTTTCATAATTTTTCTAATAAAACTTAATTTTAAGGCATGGCAATTTTTAATCGCTGAAGAGAATGCTCACACTAAATTAAGACCTCTTCCGAGAAATTCAGACTTCTTAGATTTATGAAAAAAAAAATAATTAATAAGAAGCATTAAGATTTTTTATTTTACCTCTCCACGGGTYATTAAGAGGCTGCAACAAACATTTAAAACAGATACAAGAAATTCAAAAAATAATTTTCTTATAAGAAATTAATTGACTATCCGTGTATATGAGTGTATTTTAATATTTAAAAAAAATAGTTTGAGACAGATTAAAAAATCACTAGAAAACGTAAGTAGCAAACCAATGACAATCCATCTATATATATCATTAATCAAATTATTTCAAAAAATAATACTAGAAACATAAATTATCGTCTCTCAAGAGACTTATGAAGTGGTATTCATAGGTCGTCAACCTACAAACATGACACTCGTTTAACAACACCATGTTTGATTTTTTAAAAATAGAGTAGAAAGTTGATTATTTYTAATTTTATACATATAATGAATTATGTTTTGTACCGGCAAAGAGAAACAGTGGACTTTAATTGCTACTACGCCAACAGACTCTTTCGTTAAATGATAGTTACTTTTAACTACTAAGACTTACTTTCTTTTCTTTTCTAAAACCTACATGACAGTCATGCAAGTTGGTCATTTAGTTGCATGCGTGTCTGGTCTCTCGACGACCACAATTTAAAATCTTTTTAAAMATTAAAAGAGACGATCAAGTGTTGATGTGTTATATGGTTGTCGTTCCATCTATTTTCAAAGCATTATTCTTGAAAATAACATATATTTGGAATAAGTTTTAAAAATAGCATTATTAAAAAAAATTCATATATTTAGGGGTATAGGGGAGAATTTTTCTCTCGTTTGTTTTTTATTTATTTATTTTTTTTTTGCAAAGGTAAATGTATTAAAACAAAAAAAATGGAGAATCTCACCGCCCGAGATCAAGGCACAACACCCTAATGGCAAACACGAGACAAGGAAAAAAAGAGAAAATCAAGGAAATAAGATAAACATAGGGTCRGAACTTAGACAACAACTTTCAGGCCASGTAGTACAACGATAATATAAACCTCAGCTTTCAAAGCACGCAAAATGACAGRAGGCGACCAACCCACCCCACCCGCATGAAATTGCTTTCCTTGGCAATTTACTATTTTGCCCCCTCTTTTTTTTTGAAATTTATAATTGCTTTCCTTGATAATTTACTATTTTAATTTCCTTAAATTAAATAAAAATGAAAATTGAAGATAAAAGTTATATTTCAACTTTAGATAAATATACTAAATAATCGTTAATGTATTAAGTAATTCTCTGTCTTTAATTTAATAAAATTTTCAATTTTACCGTAATGTATTTTAACTCCTTTTTAAGCTCTTGCTCTCATTTTTCGTTAAAAAAAAGAATTATTTATTTATTTATTTATTATTATTTTTTTATGTATGGGTGTAGTATCAAGATTTTCTTCTTAATATTATTCTTTTTTAGGGGGAATTCGAGCTCACAACATTATGGTACATGTCAAGCTCAGTTATGCTCACTTGGCATATTATTATTCTCTTTATTGTTTACTAATTTKTTTTATTTTATAAATTATTTTTATTAAGTAATACTTTTTACCTCTCCTCTTCTATTTTTCTTATACATATATATTTCTATCAAAATTATGAAAAATTATTTAAAATTTTATTAAGATGTTATCTGACATAAAAATATCACCCTATCAATATTTCATATCATGTTGAATTATTTAACTAAAGACTATATTTGATTGGTTAATAAAACATAATTAAGCAACATTGAACATTAATTTACTAATTCAAACAATTTTTATCAATTTTTCATAATTGTTATGATTTTCTTGAAATATCCATCAACATTGACATTTCCATTAATCTTTCGGGATCTCGACATTTTAAACCTTGATTGGATGGCAAATAATAGCATGTCACGTGACCCAAGAGGTCTCATGATGTCTCTTGTGAACGGAACTAAAAGACTTTGGAACATAGGTGCTGACCAAAGGCTCGAACCTAAGGGCTGAATTATCAGCGMACCAAAGGTCGAGAATAGCCGAACGAAGGAAAACCAACCTTCAGCTGCCCACTACTCACTATTGTGACATGGCCGAAAGAGCGGTTCTAACCACATCACACTATAAATATTAGAGGTAATTCCACCCTSAAGYATGCACAAATCAATTTACTAATTTTACACCAAATAAATTGGGCCGAAGTGCTGATCATTACTGATTTGAAGGTTCATTTGACTACTTAAAAGTTATGAGTAGGAGTATTTGCGCGCGCTTTATTAACTCCATCAAGGACTAAATAGAAACCAATACATTGTGCACAGACAAGAAAGAAAGCCTTTTTTATTTAATTCTTAAGGACTGTTTCCTATAAGAGAAACAGAATCTCCATGGCTTACACTAGTACATATTCCAATACATGAGATGATCATATTAATATCCATAATTGTTCATTAATAGGAACATGGCTTTTAGTTTTAAGCCTTGTTGTTGTGGAGTTTGAGTTTTGTTGTTATTGCAGAGGTTAGGGCCAAGTCTGCTGCATCATCCACCAAGTATGGCACCACAAAATTACTCATACTTTCATCAGGTAAATTAGCATGATCTCCTGGCACTTTCCGAGTTATCACTTTTCCACTCTCGTTCAACCTCTTCAACCCAATCCAGTCCTCTTTATACAGATTTGTCTGCACATTATATTGTATCATATAAACTCATTCCAACTCATAATAATACTCTTTTTTCTTTTCTCTCACGCTTCTTGTTTTACAAAAATCCATGAGATGAGACAACATTGGAAAACGAGAAAAATGAAATGAGAAACAATGGTCGAACGCATTCTTTTGTTATTCAAAATGAAAAAAAAAGAAACAAGTTGAGAGATAAAATATGAATGAAAAAGGGGATGCATTTTTTGTTGTTTTTTAGAGGGTTTAATGGTAGTTGATATTCAATCGCCAAGATACCAATTTGAAATTTTTTCGAGCAACTAAAACTAAGCTCATTGATATATCCATGTCGTTTTTAGTTTTCTATATTGGACCCACCATTTCTTTAATATTTTTTTTCAATTTTCTTAACAACACATTTGAAGTCTCGACCAAATTTTAAAAATGGATCAAACAAGTTTTTAAGAATGATTTTTTTAGGTACAATTTATAAGGATTTCATTTTTTTCCTTTTTTTTTAAAAAAAAAACATTATGCTTGCTTCCTTACAATTTTTTCCTATATTTATAACCTATATTAAAAACACATCTGATTTCTTACCTAATATTTAAAGAAAAGAAAAGACAGTTTTTAAAACCACTTTTTTTTTTTTTATAGTTTTCAATTTTCAAGTATTTCTTCGAGGTTACCTCTGTTGCAGGTACAACTTGACGATCAGTACTTCCATCCCTATAGTATCCAAACCATGCAGTTTCTCTCGGAGTCAAGAGACTATCCTCCTCATTCTATGAAGAAGAAGAAAAAAATATTATCAAACAAATATGAAGAATTATATTTTTCAAATTGGGAACACAAAATAATAGGTAAATGATTTCTTTTTTCCCTTTTAATTTACATTACATTGCACATGAAAGGGTAAGAATTACAATTTGTAACCGAGAGATACAAATGTTTAACAACTTAAATAATGCTCGGGTTATTATTTTCCTTTTGTACTTACCATGAGCAACACCAATTTGTTCAAGCTACTAAAACGGTCATTGTAAGTTACGTTTCTCTCTTCTGGACGTTCATTATTGAGCTTTGGAAGGAATTTAGAATTCTTCACATACTCCTCAATTTGCTGAAAAATCAATTTATTGATTCAATTCTTTACCAAATTCTTTATACAAAATAACAAAATTTTATTCTAACATCAAAATTATGACCAAAAGGACAAGCCTTGGTTTTTTTTTCTCTCTTTTTATAATTTTTATGGAGGCATTATTTTTTTTTTCTTTTTCAGTAATTCTTACCTCTGGTACTTTGTAATAGGTGGCAGCAGTCGTAAGATTCTACAAACATAGAGAAAAAAAAGTGTGAAAATACATAAGCTCTTAGGAACTATGCAAAAAATAAAATGACTATAATAAAATATGCTTTCTTCATCAAGAATTTTAGCCATAATTTAAAATTGTAAAAAAAATTGAAGATTTTTATTTCAATTTTTAGGCATAAAGTCTATGAGATGATATGGCATTTTCTTGTAGGAAAAAAAAATAATGTGGGTAGTGGGTTTAAATTTTCAATTTATAAAGAGATAATTAATGGTTAAAACTATTGAATCACACCGAATTAATGGTCAAGTATTCAAAATAATATATGAAATTGGAAGATGCTTACTTGGACAATATCTGTATAAACTGCAACGTCGAATAAGATTTCGACTATTGGACAACACTTTGAGAACTGCATTTAACAGTAAAAATAATTAAAATATATACGAATACAAATATATTCAATACCACGTCATCCATACTGCTAAATAATTGATTGCAAAAGTAACAAATTAAATTAGTTACTTTTTGAAATTTTAAAAATTGAAAGATTTGGAATAAACCAAACAAGATTTAAACAAGGGAGAGAGAGAGACTTTTTACCTAAATTATACTTTGATAGGTGAATTATGATCATTTCAATAAATTTCAAATTTTTTTTTCCTAATACAACGAGTGAGAAATTTGAGTTAGGAATAAAAACGATATTATATTGCTATTTAGTTCTTAAAAGTTTACCCTGAGAAGAGTTAAAAAGGTTCTTACAATTTGTTCACAATAAGGTACAGATGCCACACCGGCGTGAGGGCCTGCTAGAGAAATAAAATTCTTAATCTGTTACAATTTTTTCAAAAAGAAAAAGAAAAGAAGATTAGAAATTCCACACCATGAGATATATATATGTAATAAAACTTCCAAAAAAAATAATATGTTTTCTTTAAAAAAAAAAACTTGGAAGCTAATTAACACTTACAGGAGGTGCTCCATCACATAATTCTATTAGACCTCTTGCTATTAGGGTACCCTATATATCCACAACAAACATAGAAATAATAAATTATTATTTTTATTGTATTGTTTTTAAAAATTAAAAAGTGAATGGCTGTAGATCTATTAAATCACCTGGGAAATAGCAAATATATTGAAGCCTCCTCTCAAATATTCCAATTTTTTCACCTGTAAATAGTAATAATGAACATGGAAAATGAAAAAATAAATCTAGGAGAGAAGGGAAAAAAAATTTAACCCCACAAAAAAAAGAAAAAAAAAACCTGATATCTCATACAGGTTATGTGATTTTAAATAATTTCAAATAAGTCTTCAAACTTTCAATTTTAAATTTAATAGATGTTTTTCTTATAATACATCCCTAATTTATTAGACAATTTTTTTAATTCAATGACCTGACACACATAAAATTAAACGTTCAAAAACATATATATTTGACACATTTTATAGTTAAAAGAGCTTATTTAGACACAAACTTAAACGTTGAATGACAAATTTGTAATTTACTCAATTTGGTATAATATATAAATTCCATTCAAATTACTTCCACTTTATGTTCGAGCATATTTTAACCATTAAAAATAATGTTGTATTTAATTTATCGAATAAAATAATAAATCAAGTTGGTGAGATGTGAGTGAATATAAATATTATGGTATGATTTTGTGAAAAGAAAAGTTAATAAATAAATATTATGGTATGATCGTTTTTTTTTTTTTTAACAAACTATAGTATGGTATTTAAATGCTCAGAAAGCAAAGTTCTACCTTGTCACAAGCAATTTGTATCTGCAAAAAAACAAAACAAAACACAAAAAAATAATAATAATAAATAAAAGAAACAAATATATATATATTATATATGAATCCAAAGAGTGTTAGCTCTTTTTTTCTTTGAAAAAAAAAGGGAAAATTTAATGTGTAACCTGGTCGAGAACGGGCATAAATATTGAATCAACAGATCCATTACCAATTTCTCTGCAAGGTAAATAAATTGAGTTATATTTTCAATAAATATTATTAAAAAGGACAAGGTGAACAATTATTTCTAGACTATTTTGTCCATTTTTTAATATTTGCAATATGCCAAATTTGTCATCTTATTCAATTATCAATATATTGTTGATTAAATTTCCGACTATTTTAATATTTAAGAAAACAACAATTTTGATCATTCTTATTATTCGACTGTCAAGTTTGACCCCACATTCGGTACCCACCTCGACAAATCTATTTAATTTTAAGATTAGTGTCATCTTAGCAAGTTAATCCATATATTCAAAAATTTATAATATACCCTCCATCAATTAAATAATTCACTAGAAAGTTAATGACAATGAGGAAAGTATTTTTTTTAAGTTCAAGGACTAAATTCATTAAACATTTAAAAATATTTAAGGGACAAATAAATTAGAATGAAATAGACAAGTTAAGGACTAAAATAAATTTAATAAAAAACTTATATATTTTTATAAATGAAAATCATACATGCATTGTCCTTCAACACCAGCAGATTCCTTCAAGTATGAAATGATATGGTTTGATTCCGAACTTGAGCAACTGCCAGTAAGACCTGCATTAACAAAACCAAGTCTATTGGATGACTATTTTTTTTTTAAGCTAAGCATGTCTTTTTAGTCTACTTTTCGTTGTTTGAAAGTGTTTTGTTTTCAATATATTGTTAAATTTATTGTTCATCTATACTCATAATCCATGTTCTAATCAAGCATAATTTGATTTAATTAGAGTGAGAATAAATGAAAAATACGACACTAAAGATAGTAATTGAACCATCTTATATAGAAATTACACCCAAACATAACTCTCAAAAATCAATATTAAAAAGTCACTATTTTTAAAATAAAAAACAACCACATCAATTTTAAACATACTAGTCGTCCATGAAAAATAGACTAAAAGAAAACATGAAAAAATAACTATCTATAAATATTATAGAAGAACTCCGACATTATTAATTTATTATTGTTTTATAAGGAAAAAGAACTTCAATTATCAATCAACAATCCATGATTGATGCATTAAAAAAATTCATTATTGATAAAAAGGAAACTAACAAAAACATAACCAAATATATATACATATATAGTTATTCAAATATATATTTTCTATATTTTAAAGTAAAAAAGTTATTTTTCCGAAGAACAAGAAAAAAAACCTTCCAAAACCTTCCAAATTTCTCAATTCAACTTATTATTCGTTTGAATAATAAAAATGAAAAGAAACAAGAGCAACATTATATTGTTTTCAGATGACAAGAAAAGAATTCAGTACCATGAAAGAATACGAAGGGAAGAGAATGAGAAGTTGAGACGATGACAAGAAAGAAGATAAAAGAGAAGATAAAAGAGAAGAAGAAGAAGCGAGAAGCCATTCGTCTTTAATT